AGAGTGACAAAAAAAAACTAATAGTCTAAATTATAAATGTGAATTTTACCCTGTTTTGAATCCACACGGTACTGATGAATGCCTATACTTACTTACTTACGTCTGTTACTCCCAATGGAGCATAGGCCGCGACCAGCATTCTCCAACCCACTCTGTCCTGGACCTTCTTTTCTAGTTCCATCCAATTCTTGTTCATTTTTCTCATGTCTATTTCCGTTTCCCGGCGTAATGTGTTCTTTTGTCTTCCTCTTCTCCTTCGGCCTTGAGGATTCCATGTGAGAGCTTGTCTTGTGACGTAGTTGGGTTCTTTCCTCAATTTGTGTCCTATCCACTTCCAGCGTTTCCTGATTTCTTCCTCCGCTGGGATCTGGTTTGTTCTCTCCCACAGTACGTTGTTGCTAATAGTGTCCGGCCAACGGATCCGAAGTATTTTGCGTAGACAACTGTTAATAAACACCTGTATTTTCTGGATGATGGCTTTCGTAGTTCTCCAGGTTTCTGCCGCATACAGTAGAACTGTCTTGACATTTGTATTGAAAATCCTGCCCTTGGTGTTGTTTGACAGTTGCTTTGAGTTCCAGATGTTCCTCAGTTGTAAATATGCTGCTCTTGCTTTGCCGATCCGCGCTTTCACATCTGCATCAGATCCACTCCGCCTGGAGTCCCTCCGGGGGCTACTGGCGGTCCCAAGCCCGGATAAAGGAGGAGGGTTGGGCATGGGGTTAGCGACTCCATCCCGAAGAAAACTAACTCGCTAAAAAAACGCTAACCAGAAAAAATTACTCAACCTTCTAAACTCTGCCCTGGGAATCAGAAGGTCTTCATTTAGAAGAAATATGAGGCCTCATGATGATGATGATGAATGCCTATAACTCGACGATTATTATTCTAATGATTAATACTATATAGCCTATGAATCAATAGATTTGCTCATGTAACACAGTGACGCAGGAAAATGATTGTGGGCATGGTTTAGAATATGTAATCTACTAAACCAATTATTTGCTCTTCATAAGTGAATAAAGTTTTGAATTCTGGATGCTGAATATCTCTGGTGAGATTTTACTTTGGTCACCGAAAATATCAGAAACAATTCTGTGTAATACATTTCCAGTAAGACAGAAATAAATGATCAAGTAGTTTATCTGGAGACTAAATCTTCTGACCGTTGTTTTACCGATTAATATTTTAAATGAATCGATGGATATTTAGCACATAATATAACGTTTGTCCTTTCAAAATGGTTTTCTTTATCAACTTTTCTATTACAGATCGTGATAAGAGAGTGTTGAAACTTTATTTGAATGTTAAACATAAACAGTGAAAAATATACGTTTGTTTGCTTATCAATCGAGGATTGATGAGTTTCTTTTCTGTCTTGAGTTTTGACAGTTTTCTTGTTTTTCTGTCAATCCTAGATTTACTGGTAATCCAAAATATACCATCTCATAAATATTTTCACCTCTCTTACAGTCTCGGATCGACGATGTGTGGGTTATGAAGTACTGCGAGACGATCTAGAACTGTTGGCTTATTAGTCAGATCAACAGCATCATGCTAGGCACAATGAAGTGGAAAAATCAAAGTGGCTACTGTTTTGCGATATTTAATACATTCGATGTGTGATATTTATCATCACTAAATAGACTATATGCCGAATATATTTGGGACTATTGTTTATCAGATGTCTTCAAACTTTTGTACGGAATAACTTCCATGCAACAGGGAATTAAATGACGTTAGAAAAGTAACTTCATGAGGAATCTGGAGTTTAGAAAATCAAACTATACACTGAGTATTTGAGCGAAAATTTGTTTTCAATTACTTCATCATCATGTACAAGTGGAAGTCCATAATTATGGTTTTATACTGCAGGAAATGATACATGCTAAAGTGAATTAGATACCGTCATGTGTTAATATAGTGAGCTCTTACAACTGTTACCGTTTAAACGCCTAAAAATGTGTCACCTGTGAATTAAAAAGTCCATTTAACAAATGAAAGAGGATTCGTTTTAAGTTGTAAAGCTACCATCAATATGATAAAATACAAAAAATATCATGTTGTTTAACTAAGATCAGTCTGTGATGTGATGACCTTCGAAAAATCTCTGCAAACCGCTCGTAGTGATATTAGGAGAAATGGAGGACTTCTCACGATATTAATGACGATGATGACATCGTATGAATGCAATATGAAATAAGAGATGTGTTGTTAGGGTCACTACGGTGAGAAATTCATTTAAACCGATAAAAAAGAATCTAGAAATTAATGATGGGGTAGAGTATAGATGACAATAGCGAGGACTAGACGGTAAGGGTTTGTAATATCTGGTTTAAATTTGAAGTGAACCAATACGAGGCCTTAGCAAACATTAAGGTTGAACATACCTTATTTTATATACATAATTTAGGTCATATGCAGTTGATCACCATGGTTTCCGTTACGTTGAGGATTTATGCTCTTGCTGCTTTGGGATTAATGCGAAACCGAGAGGCGTTCATATGTTTTAATGTGGTGTTCGTTACCTACCAAGTTAGAAAATATAAGGCTATTGATTGACTTAGTGACTCTTCTTCCTGAAAATTGAGGTACATATTCGCAAGTACTGAAGGATAAGGGCCCTATGTACCTAGTTACAAAGAACTGGTTAAATTGATATAGACACTCGGAAGAGAACTACTTTGGTATCCTATGTTTGAATCGTTGTGCAAGTTCTGGTTTAGTCACAAGCAACCTTTCAGAGTTCAAAGACCTTTCCACAGATCTCCCAATGAAATGAACTATTCGTCACCCTCTTCACTTCGTTAAACATGAGTTGTGTGCGTGATTATAGTGGAAAGCCTTTCACTGTAAATATTGAACACTCAAGAGACCGTTCAGGCAATGCTCATTGTGAACTTAAAGTGTTCAAGAAAGATTGGTTCAGCGAAGAGTTCTCTTTTCGGTGGATTCATTTTCAAAGCTGTACAATCGCAAATACACATACTTATTTTTTCAGAATAATAATAATTACAATAATAATGGTAATAAAGTTCTGCTATACATGGTAACAGTGAGGTAGAATAATCAAAGTTATAAAAAAATTTCAAACAGGGAAACTAATAGTAGTTTTGTTGTTAAGGTGTTAAATATTCATCATAAAGATAGACAGGGGAATTATCATTGAGAGAAGATGGCTCAGCATGATGAGATAAAATATTGAAATTGAAATGTAATGTAATCAAGAGGATCATAGAAACAGAAATAAACCAGTTAGGGGTAGAAGGTTTTAAGAAACAGATGGCTGTAAAGGAAAAGGAGTATAAAAAATTACGAAACATTAAGACCACGGTAGAAGAAGAGGTTATACCAATCTCTTTCGAACGCACCATTTCGGTTTTCCCAGATGTATGGCTGTTGCTTCGGTAATGCTAAGAAGATGCAATACGACTGCCTTTGGAGGTCTTCTACTTACCTTGTGGATGACCTTGAACGCAGAGTCCGTGTTGATTCAGTGACCTGTGTTCAGGTGTTCGATTATTGAATTTTTTACTGTGCCCTTTCCTCCTCTTAGCCACACCGGGTAATGTTCTTTAATTCTTTAGGATAAATTAAGCATTGGACGACATGTATACCTAACTCCAAACGAACAAGTAAGTTGGTAAATCCACATTGAGTCGGTCAGAAAAGATAATTGATCCTTAAGATTATTGATGAAAAATGATCGGCTGGAGATTACTATTCACAACGTTGCTGCGATGAACGTTCTCTTTAATGAACCAATAATTCTCTTTAAGACGTTTGTAGCACTATCATCCTTGAAGTCGATGTTCACGTATATATTTTTTTCGACTGAAGTTACTTGTGATTTAGGCAGTTTCAGTTCTATGTTCTTGTTAATGGATATCGAAGGATACCAGTTTTCGATCAGTATTTTCTCATAAGACTTCGGGACTACAAATACTTTGTATTCTCGTAGCGAGTGTTATTATGAGGCATGGTTTTGGACTTATGGGGACCCAGCTGCGGATACTTGACAGTTGGCCATTTCACTATTGTAGATAGATCTTTTAAAAGTTCCGTCCTGTTTTCTTGTCATTTCTGCATCAATAAAGTGAATATTCAGTTTGTTTTCAACTTCAAGTGCGGAATTTATTAATGGGTGCCGGTATTTAAATGTCTTCAGAAGATGACTCAGATCATATTTGTTGTTACAAATGATAAAAATATCTGTTAAGTCTATCGAAGAGTCCAAATCACCTAATTGAGATACATGCAAAATCGAAGTTCACAAAGCCACGATTTGTCTAAAACAGTGGCTCTTTATTGAATAATATACAAAAAGTGGTTAAAAACCTCAACTTGTGAGGTGTCTGTGGCGTTTACCGTATCATTTTGTCTGAGATAAAAAGGTCTAGATGGTGCGGAAATAACAGTCATTAGCAATGTTTAAACTTGATAACGGTTTATCATCAAGAAAACTTCGAAACTACGAGAAAGCGATATGGGAACTGTTGTGTTGAAACAAGGGTTAAACGATTGCCCGAAATCGCGAATAACTGTTACAATGATTAAGATAGAGTAATTATGATGATAAGTACAATAAATGTTATAAGTATATGTAAATATTTCAAAATATTACACGACAAACTTGCGTTACAATGTAAGCGTAGAAATTGCTAGGAATGCATCTATTTACTGAATATTAATAAGTAGTACAAAACAGTACACAAAAGAGTCGAAGGAAAGTGAATAAGGACAGAGGACGTAAAACAGACTTAAAAATATCATGTACGTACCTTTTATACAAGAGGAAGTTTTCGATAGTCGTTTTAAGTTGGTTGTTTTCTAAACTGGCCATGAAGCAATCTGATAGTAATGGACCAAAAGGGGATCCCATCGGTATGCCATCCTTTTGCATGTGAATTACGTTGTTGAATATAGACTGTACGTTGCAAGTGCAACGTAGTAGTAGTTTCTTCAAATAAGCTTCTGATATTCCGGTGTTAATTTCATCATTATTTATGTAATTGCAGATAAATTTGATGATCTCTGTGAGAGGAAGATTAGTGAATAGTGATTCAACATCCAGGGATAGCATAATTGGGTCATTTACATTTACCTCTCTTAAGTATTTAATGAATTCAAAAGTAGAATGTACGTACTGTCTAAAAATGCGTTTTCTTACGGGTTCTACGAGTTCTGACAGCCAATTTGTTATGGAATGATAAGGGGATCCAGTTCAAGAATTGATTTGAGAGGTAGGACAGATTTGTGTATTTTAGTCAAAGAGAACTTTCCGCTGAACCAATTTCTTCTTATTTAGTGTCTCAATCGGTGTTTTCCGGATATTACGTAAAGTTTCTCAAAAAGAATCAAACACAGTCAATGAGAAATGTTAAACTTCATGGTAGTTCACGAGAGTTCAGACATACTGGACAGTTTTGCAGGTACTACTTTAATTTTAATGTCAAATCAACTCCGGTCATCAATCCATATCCGTTCGTGCACAACAAATGCAACCATCGACCAGTGCGTCGACTGAAAAGCCAGAATTTTTCAATTTGACTCATGTTTCTAATCAGCTAGTTCAAACTGCTAGGTGACTGTCGTTCTTTTCCTCAGTGAATTACTTCAGCAGAAGCACAGCATACCGTTTTGAATGTACACTTTTCTCGATTAATGCGGACATTAAACATTTATGACAGATGTTGATAGGCGAGGAGTTCACAGATCATAAACTGCCGGAAAATACATTCTTGGTCAGGGTTCAAAGTCATCCACCTCGAGAGATCCGTGATATCAGTGTTATTCCATATGTCAACGGCAAAATTAATTAAACACCAGATTCGTTACTTTGACTTGAATTAATAGAGCTCCGTAACTAACCATAAATCTTATGAAGCTGGGATGCAACGAGGGAGAAGATTGATAGTTGTGTTAACTCATATCTACAAATAAATCCAGTCTCAAACCGAAACAGCTATTATGACCTGAAGATTTATGGTACAACCAGAGGTACGTCTCGTCACTTTCTCATACTTTCTCTCATCTTGACACGAAATCTGCTATCAAACTGATAAGTACTAGATATATGTGGCAAGCTCAACATAGATATTTGCACATATATGCTCATTAATAGGAAAAGTTAAAGTACGATACGAATTTATTTATGAGTTTGCTCTTCACTGCATACACGTTTAGTTCGCGTTTCTGTTGGTTCGGTCGGTCGCTCATAGAATTACAGTCGAGATAATTACTCATATACATACAAAGACAAATTTACGAAGCTTTTACTAACCGTACCATTCATGGGACTTACAGTCGAGACAGTAGTGAAGGCCTTTATTTAAGACGAACGTTCAGCTTGATTTTAAGGAACTTTGGAGAAGGTGGTGTTAGTACGGTGTTCCGCAAATAGCTACATAGTCACTTGATACTGACGACTAAACAGTTTGCGAGAAGTTCGGCGAGGTCTCACTCCTGTTCTACTCTAATCAAACATAGAGTATTGCTTCAGTAAACAAATTGAAATTACGAGCAATAATATTTCATCAGGTTTCTCGTACTGATCTTAAGTCACTTAGAAAAAAATAAATGAGTACACTTACATTTGTGCCTAACATAAGTAAATAAATTCTTTAAATAAAATGTCTTCAAGCAAAGAAGAATATATACAACTGCAATTCACTAACAATTCCGCCTGTAGCACTTCTAGAGTTACTGCCGGTTCTAAGCACGGGTAGAGGAGGAGGGTGGGGCATGGGGTCGGCAACCCCATCCCGTAGAAAACAACCTTACTAAAAAAACGCTGACCAGATTAAACAAATTGAACCATTTAAACTTTGTCCTGGGAGTTGAAGAAAGGATTGTAACTCCTCACGGTGAAAGCCCAGATTCTTCAGGAGTCGTGAGGCCGATGCCCTTTCTAACTATTATAGATACATAGAATATCCGGATAATGTGGGATACTAGAAGGACCAGTCAAATAGCTATGGAAATTAGGAGACCCAACTTGGTGGTGCTCAGAATCAGTGAAACCCATCGGACCCAAGCTGGACAGCAAAGCATAGATTCATAAAAAGCTATTGCTGTGCTCTAGTCATGAAAAGGAAAATTCTCCACACACTCAGGGAATTGCTCTGATGCTGTCCAAAGAGGCACAAAATGAGCTTATTGGGTGGGAATCGCATGGATCCATGATCATTAAAGTATCCTTCAAAGCAAAGAAGGGAATCACAATGAATGTTATCCGATGTTATGCATCCACCAGTGATAGTAATGACAACGATAAAGATCAGTTCTACGAGAGGCTACAATCGATCATAGCTAAGTGTTCAGGAAAGAGGACGTGACCATCCTGATGACAGATCTAAACTCCAAAGTCGGGATGGACAACACCGGATATGAAGATATCATGGGATGACATGGACTTGGAGAAAGAAACAAAAATAGGGAGAGATTCGCAAATATATGTGCGTCCAACAAAATTGTTATAGGTGGCACAATATTCCCCCACAAACAAATACTCAAAGCTACATGGGTCTCACTGGACCACATTACAGAGAATCTGATCGATCATATTCGCATCACTAAACGTTCACAAGGTCAATGGAAGACGTGCGAATCAGGAAAGGAGCTGATATAGCTTCAGATCACCATCTGGTGGTTGCCAAAATGAAGCTGAGGCTAGAGAAGCACTGAACATCTGGAGGAACAGCAATACCAAGTTTAATACAACCTTCCTTCAAAATACTGACAAACTCAACGAATTCAATATAGCTTTCATCAACAGGTTCCAAGCCTTTCAGAGTTCTTTGAAAGGAGAAACTACTATGGAGGACAACTGCAAAGAAATCAAGAAAGCACTAACTCCAACGTCTCGGGGGGTTCTGGGTCAAAAGAAGCATCACCATAAGGAATAGGTCCACATCGAAGCCTTGGACAAGATTTATGAAAGAAAAGATATGACGGCAACTAACAACGGTCAAACGATAACAGAGAAAGTCAAAACACAAGCTGAATACACAGAAGCAAACAAGCGAGTGAAGAAGAGCGTCAGAATTGACAAGGGGAAATACATGGAAGAGCTAGAAACTACACCAGAATAAGCTTAAACAGAAGGAAATATCAGACACGTTTATGATGCAACGAAAAAACTAGCAGGAAAATATTGTAAACCAGAGAAACCGATTAAGGACAAAGAATGCAAACCAACCACCGAGACCATAAACAGATGGGTAGAACACTTTGAGGAACTCTTAAATAGACCAGTCACAGTGAATTTACCATGAATCAAAGCAGCATACCAAGATATTCCCACAGACAAGAGTTCACCAACGATCAAAGTAATCAGAATGGGCATCAGACAAATGAAGAGTGGGAAAGAAGTAGGACCTGACAACATACCAACTGAAGCACTAAAGACAGACAAAGAAGCAACTGCCAGCATGCTCTACACTCTATTCAGGAAGATTTGGGAGGAAGAACATGTTCCGACGGACTGGAGAGAAAGACACTTCATCAAGATACCAAAAAGAAGAGATCCGAGTAAATGTGAGAACTACAGAGGAATCACACTGCCATCGGTACCAAGGAAAGATTTCAACAGTGTTGCCGAACCAGATGAAAGACTTAGTAGACGCCCAGCTTCGAGATCAACAGACCGGATTCTGTAAGGATCGATCAAGTACAGACCAAACCGCGACACTACGGATTATCGCTGGATAATCAAAACATCATATCGACGTCTGCCGTCTATCCGAGACCCGCATGCAAGACTCTGGCGAAGTACTAAAAATTCGATCTCCATCTGTCGCTTCAAAACGCTTGTTTTACGTGCGCTTACCCGGGGACCCTGTGGCATCTTCGTCTAATCTTGCTGACGTTATATGTCGCACTAAGTGCCAGAGCTGAGGCAGCACTAATCGATTGGATCCCCATCAACAGTCTGTTATGTGCTGTTAGATTAGAAAGTTCAATCAAAGTGAGAAGAAATCGGCCTGAAAAACGATGTCTTTTCGTCATCTCCGCCTATGCCCCGACAGATTGCAGCCCGGATGCAATCAAGGATGAATTCTACCACCAATTATCTGTTCTTTTCCAGAAAGTGCGTTCGACAGATATTGTAGTACTATCCGGAGACTTGAACGCTCAGGTCGGGCGTCTAGGCACAGAAGAGAGTCGTTTAGGTGGCCGATGAGGACTTGTTGGTCGCAGGACAGATAATGGAGACCGTCTACTGCAACTGTGCACAGACCACAACCTGTTTCTGGCTAGCACTAACTTTCGGCACAGTCATCGCCGATGTGCCACCTGGCGTCCTGCTTCTGCATCTCAAGCCTGGACTCAGATTTATCACATCTCGATCAGCTACCGGTGGCGTGGTTGTGAACAGATGACTTACCTCCAGCTCATTTTAAAGATGGTGGTGACTTTTTGACCAAGGAATTGACGACGTTGTTTACGAAGGTTTGGAGTTAGAGAGTGTACCAACGTCATGGAATGAGTCGATAGTTGTCCCTATCTTTAAAAAGGGTTCACGTCGTTCCTGTAACAACTATCGGGGGCTAAGTCTACTTCCGATTGCGTCCAAGCTATTGGCTTTCGTCATACTTCGTAGGTTGTTCAAAACCCGAGAAAGATCAACTAGTGAGGAGCAGGCTGGGTTTCGTTCTGGTCGAGGATGTATTGATCATATCTTCACCCTCCGCCAAATGTTAGAACACCGCCATACTTATCAAAGGCCAACAATCGTAGTGTTTTTGACATCAGGGCTGCCTTCGATACGTTGGATAGGACTGTTCTCTGGGTTTGTCTATTGAAGAAGAGTGTGCCTGAGAAGTTTATTAACATCCTAAAAGCCCTATATAAAAACACCTCAGGCAGAGTGAGGGCATACAACCACCTCTCCATTGTTCCATTCGAGCAGCGGCGTTACACAGGGTTGCCCAATCTCACCATTCCTCTCCAACTTTGCGATCGATGACATTCTGGAAACAGCTCTGATGGATGTAAGTAATGGCGGTGTGGATCTGTTGCCCGGAGAAAGACTTCTCGACCTTGAGTATGCGGATGATATTGCCTTACTGTGCGATAATACCCAAGGCATGCAATCCGCACTTAATCAGTTGGCAATCAGTGTCCGCAGGTATGGTATGTGCTTTGCACCTTCGAAGTGCAAAGTACTTCTACAAGACTGGCAGGATTCCAATCCTGTACTCACCCTGGATGGTGAGCAGATAGACGTAGTCGAGAAGTTCGTGTATCTAGGTAGCTGCATAATTGCTGGTGGTGACGTGAGTGGTGAGGTCGATTCACGTATAGGGAAAGCTAAAGCCGCTTATGCGAATCTGGGCCACCTTTAGCGCCTCCGTGATGTTAATCTGGCTGCAAAAGGTCGGATCTACAACGCGTCGGTGAGAGCAGTCTTGCTCTGTGCTTGTGAAACCTGGCCTCTCCGAGTTGAGTATGTTAGACGACTCTCTGTGTTCGATCATCGCTGTCTCCGAAGGATTGCTGACATCCAGTGGCAACACCATGTTAGTAATGCAGAGGTTCGGCATCGTGTGTTCGGGCACAGAGATGATAATGCAATCGATGTCACCATCTTGAAACACCGACTTCGGTGGCTTGGGCATGTTCTCCGAATGTCGTCCCAGAGAATTCCACGTCGTGCATTATTTGCCGACTCTGGGACTGGTTGGAAAACGTGGAGAGGTGGTCAGTGCATGACATGGTGTCGTGGCATGAAAGAAAGCTGCAAAGGACTTGCTTCTGTCGATCCTTCACGACTCCCTGGTTGGGGTCCTAGAGATGGTGCTACACAGTGGCTAGAGACGTTATCAGATATGGCTCAGAGTAGAAGCCAGTGGCGATCCTGCTGTAACTTTTTTTTACTTTCTTCATAAAAAAGGATGTAACTTCTTTAACTGAAAGAATTCTTCCTAATTGTACTTTCGCTAACTGAATTCTTCCTCCCGTTATTAATATTTCATTCACGTACTAATTTCTGTTCGTTGTTGTTCCCCTTTTTCTCATACGCGCCTTACATTTGCTATTGGTGATCGTGCTGCAACTTTATTTCACTTTCTTCATAAAAAAAGACGTAACGTCTTTAAGTTGGAGAATTCTTTGTGGCTGTACTTCTGCTAATTGACCTGTCTCTCCCATTATTATTATTTCATTATCATACACTAATTTCTGTTCATTGTTGTACTTCTTTTCTTCTTATACGCACCTTATATTTATCTCTTCATATTCTCATTATTTTTCTGTGGCGCATATGTATTTGGTGCCCCCTTGTATCGGTGTTTATGTGTTCAAATAGATAAATAAATTTAATGAGTGCGTAATCTACGGAACCAATAAATCAATCGTTTCAATTAGTAAATAGATCTAAATTTCGGGGTTACATTTTGCATCTTCCTGATGGTTAGTAAGCGTTTTTGGTAGTAATCCATATGGTAGATAAATTACGAAAAGTGATGCAAATATAATTTAGTAATGAAATTTAACCATAAATGCAATAATGTTCGCGGCACGTAATGTGTGAGAGCTCAAACCACTATTTAGATACTTACAGAAAGATACGCAAATTGTGTTTGAACCCAATTTATATTCTTTAACTCTTCATAACCTCATTGTTATTGTGTGGTGCATATGTATTTGGTGCCCGTTTGTACCAATATTTATGTGTTCAAATAAATATATAAAATAAGAGAGAAGAACCAACAAGGACTCAGAGTGGACTCTAGTCTACTCGTACTTGTTAACGCGTCATTGGATCAGGACAGGGCCAATGTCATACAAGTCGGTGATCTCATTGGCAATTTAGTCACGTGATATTTGACACGGCAAAAGTCATAACAATACTCATAAGTACTATCGTATCAGGTTTCCAAATTCCTTGATTACTCGGTTAGCGAGTAATGGTGGCTTTCAGAGGAATCGACAATACTCATCCTTATAAAAGTCTCACTATTAGTAATAAAAGTAAATTGCAACTATGATGCGAAAACGGAGTTTAGAAATTAAAGCAGTCGTGCACAAATCACAGAACGCTAAAATTACGATCCAACCCAATCACCGAAACAGCAGAATAGTGAGCAAAAATTAGTCGTTTTTGGCATATCAATACGTCACCCAACACATGATTTGTCTTGTTTCTACATTAACATTTAATGAATAAATAAATTAATAAATAATCAGTTTTTATCTATAAAGAGGGCAAACCGAGATAAATATAATAAGGTGGAAGCATAACTCAGTAAACAAATATAACGTCATATGCAAGTCTACTAGTCACAACAGTATTGTGATTGCCACTGAAATTACTGAAACACCAACTAGGGAAATGTAAGTGGAACGTATGGTTTAGCAGTCCTAAGTTGAATATCTAGATTAAACAATCACAAGATGTATCTGGGTCGTTTAAAAACTTTACTCTGCCGGAATGTCAACTACGAACGAATTCACCAAGTGAGAAATATTACAACTGAACTGATAGACACACAATAAACACTATGTAAATATGTTCCAACTATGAACGCGATAGTGAAAAATAACAGAGCTCAACTAACTTTTTAAATTCACCACTAGATGGGTGAGAATTCAGATTACTTTTCATACTGTTCTGGTTTTCAGATACACAACGGGCAGAGATTTGTGATGTCGCAGAAAACAGAGTAGGAATCGCTAAACGAACAAACTTATCTTCAAAATATTCCAAACCATTAACAGAATCACAAAATTGTTTCACTGAATCTTTTAAAATGGTCAAATTTTCTTTAGGTGAAATATTTTTCACCAAATTCCATGTAAAATATTCTGAATTTTCGAAACTGGATTTTGGAAGAGATACACTATCTTCAAGGCTTGACAAAAGAGTAAACTTTAACTGAAAAATGTTTTTATACAAAAAGAACAGAAAGATACTAAGCATCATACTTTAATTACTAGTGGTATAAATTTTAACTATCCAAGTTCGAAATAATGAAGTTAGGAAACTGAAAGTTTCACTTATAATCCAATTATTCCTACTTGGGAATAAATAGATAAATCATATGGTAAATCCATTTCCGGATAATTCGGTAATTGCCCTATCTCCATCATGAATAATCTGTAACATGCAGGCAAAAAGAATAAGTGAATTTTCAAACTGAATTAATACTTCGCTGGAATCTCCTTTATGTCTGCAAACACGATGAGATAAAGTTATCCGTTTCATAATTGGAAGAAAACTGGGAGGTGAAATGGAAGGTTTGGGAGACTTAGACATGAAGCTAGTTTATTTTAATAATACGCTTGCATTTGATATTGACCAACATGGCAATGCTATCCATAAATATATATTACTTGGTACAACAAATATGTTTTGCAATACGTTAATATGGAAACCATTTTGATATATCTAATCATTGTTGTCACCTTATGATTTTTGTTTTTTACTCGTAAAAGTAATTTTCGAAGTGTTTATCTGATCCCATAGTTTATATCATTTCTATCGATAAACAGCGTACCTTACCTTCGTACAAAGACTTTCACATTTTACTTTGCCCAGTACATATTAGTTAATACAACTCCCTGATAATGAGAAGTCAATACAATATTCAAGGAATTTCAATTAATCAAGAGTCTGGTACACTCAAAATAATTTCATGTGACACGTCACGGTACAAAAAAGTAACACCATATGATAAAAAGTAAAGATATTGCATATAAATAATAAAAACAAGTGTGGCCAATTGTTTTTCTAAGAATAGTTTAGTTATAACGTTGAATACGTCCAAATAAGAACATCCACCATCATTCCAATCATCAAGGCCATATTGTGAATATGTAAATCGTGAGCCCTTACAGAAGCATTATGTACACATTATGTTCACAGGAACGAGGGTGAATGATTCACCATACACGATAAGAATATTAGTGAATCTCAGGAAAATAAATTGTAGAAGTTATAAACGGAGGGAAAATATCTAAAAATGTTGACGACTGTAATCTCAAGTAAAAACTGATTAGTTAGCATTGTAACAACCAGTCTTTGTTATTCGAATATGAAACGTAGCTTGAGATTTGAAGTACAGTGAAGTTGTATAAACATAAACATCTAATGACTTGATAAAAAAAACAAAGAGTCGCTCAGGTTAAATACTACGACCGAATAAGTAACACTTTGAGTAAACTTGCCAACTTTTATCAACCAAGATTATCAAACCGTATGTTGTGTATGCTACGTTACTCTCAACATTGATAGGGCTGAAGTAGAAGAAAGTCCTTAGGATCTACAGTACACACAACACCGAGCTATAAAATTAATGAGGGATATTTTCAGGAATACTGAGAACGTCACGATAGTAAACGTTAATCGTTGAAATCACTGCCTAAGATTGTCAGAAAACGATTAGAGTCATGCAAAGTTTTGACATTTTTATCTTGCTCAGATACACGCTAACCTACCTAGTTTGAAAAGCTTCTTGTAACCAATTTCATTAAACCCGATTTTTGCGACTAAAACAATTTTATATGTAATTGACAAATCACTAATCCGGGAAAATTTAAGTGGAAAAGTGTGAAATCTGGATCATATATTTATACATTATCAATGTGGTTTTCGGTTTAAGTTTACCTGCACTGGATCTTTAGAATTTCTGTGTAGCCTCATATAAACTGAAGAATCACAAGTACCAGTTTCACATGAATATACTATACTAGTTTCATAAAAACGTGGCAAGCTCGAATCGCATGGATAAACAGCCAACAACATGGGTGAATTGTTTGTCGAATTCATGTATCCCAAACAATCACCTTTGACCAATCTATTTATTTGGGTTTCATTGATCAAAAGAAATTGTAAGCAAGCTTTCCATATGCGAAAATCACAAGCTCCTTTAACCCCAGAAATCCATCTTGAATTTATAAAACATTTTAAAAGATGGATCTTATTTGAATTTTATAAAAGTGTACAAAGCATATAAAAGCATACGGTTATAAAACAAATAAAGTGTATTTTACGGATAACTAAAAATATGAGTAATCATACGTCAAGTAATTCTAAATTAGTGTAAACAACTAAATGGAATGAATTTTTCTTTTTACGACATTATACAGCAATAGTAGTGGCTTCATATAATTATATTTCTTCAACGTACGTGACCTAGAAAAATTTTTAGTAAAAAGAATGTCAAAAAGAATCCTGGCATGAAACGTTTTACAATGTCTGCATATCTAATCTCGCTAAGTACATGTATTAGCTCTACACTGTAGGGTACACTCATGTTTGGACAATACTAATCTCCTGTTCACACAAACGCAGATTTTAGCTCTTCATTAAATACCTGACAGTCGATATAAAATGAAAATAAACACTACATTGAAAATGATCTTTATGAGGAACCGACGATCTAAATAATACGTCTAGTTGTGCTCATCTAGTTCTACATGCCTTAAATTGTACTATTTCGAGAGTTCTTAGTTAGGAAATGGGTTCAAATACTTCTAATTATCCTACCACTCCAGTTTTTAAATTCACAAATTTCAAAATATTCGTTTGATTAGTTGTCAGTAACAATGACCTGCAGCCACTTGGTTAGTTTCAAAAATTCTGACTTTAGTTTGACAGTAATTACCTGCAGACCCAATAGTACTTGGTAATAAACTCCTAGGTGTAAAGATGGAGTACTGTCAAGGACTCTGAGAATCAACTCATGAGCCAAGGCTTATGGTTACATAGGAATGTTGTATGCATCCTATGCTTAGCACACATACATAATAACCAACAGCATTTTCGATTTGGTGTCCAATTTTACAATAAGGTAACAATGTGAAAAAGTTCAAATTAAACTGATAGTGACTTTAGGAAACTGATAGTAATGAGTATTTAATATATCAAGATTTAGTTGATGAAAAAGATGGTTTTGAAAGTTATTAAAAATAAACATTTAAAAAGACAAAAAGGTAGTTAGAGTTTTAAATTAAGCTGTTATTTATGAGTCATGAAAACCGAAAGAAGTAACCGATTTATTGTTTGATCTATGATAAGACTAGTTGACAGGATTAACATATTGAAAGAAAAATTTGTCTCACATTCCGATAGGAGATGAGGTTAGAATAGTTGGATCCGTATCCAAATGAAGTGAAATTTTCCCCGTGTTAGTTATGTTTAGATAACTAAAAAAGAAACAATTAGAGTAAAAAAGATACATACCCAAAACGTATTTCAGATCCTCTATAATAATCATTGAAAGATTCAGTAAATTCAGACAGATGAAAGTTAGGTGTCTCCAGGCATTTTACGAGTAATGATGAAACTAAGGATGGTTTACCGATCGGCGTTAGATTCACTAAATAGTCTAGAACCAAACATTCCACTCTAAACTTCGAAAAGTACATTTCGGAGGTCAAATCTTGAGGTTTGTTAATCCTTCCATCCCTGTTATTGCCGTTTTTTGTAACACAGGCGTATGCCCAGAACTGTATACAATTGGTGATATCCAAACTTAAGGGCTTCAGAGTATAATCATTCCAAATAGCTTGAATGGCACAATCTAAAGACTGGCTTTCTGCACTGCTAAAAATATCGTATTTAGCAAGCTAGTTTTTAGAAAATCGTGAATTTACAATCTAAATGGAAAATAATACCTTAAAAGGTATCGAAAACTCATCAGGGATGTTTGATTGACAATACTGTTTTTTCTGTTCAATTCTATTCACAATAACATTCAAGCTGGAAACTCCAACAAATGAGTATCTTCCATAAAGATATGTTTTTAGGCTATTCTGCCGGCACTGCGTGATCATTCTGTATGCTAACTTGCAAACTTTCTTAGGAATCAGGCATTTCACACTACTGTAAAAAGCTCATCTTTTAAGGAAAACGTCTTACCATTGTGATGATACTGATCCAAAGGAAAACATTGTGTCATTGTCTTGCCCTTTATTGACATGACTGGCCATTAAAATGTGTATAGCTACAAAAATAAAAGTTCAGATCCTGAAATATTCAAATTAACTACATATAAAATGATTGCAGACATAATAACTAAACCAAAACTTGATTTTAAGAAGGCATTTTATAAGAATCTAATAAAGCGGATTATGGACATTATCATCAAGCTTATATATCTTGACGAAAAACGAGTAACTGCACTTTCCTCTCCCTCTATTTATATTTGCGCTAATGCAGAATAATTCATATCAACATTCTACTGTATACAGTGGCATATATCTTTGTTACTTGTAGTTGAGACATTTACAGGATTAGCCACCATCTGAAGCATCACTAGAAGTCTAAATACTGTTCAAAAAAGCTGAGGATAGAACACCGTCTGTATGATTCAGTGGTCCATAGTCTAGAATCTTCGCGAAGTCTGACAGTATCATCAACTGCAGATGGAGTATTTGAAGAAGAAACACATAGATAATTAAGAGATAAACACGAAACAGCTGACGCAATAACAGTATTCGTAGAGACCAAAAAATAAACAAAATCAAACAAAAACATCGGAGTGAGGTTTACTAATTTTATTCTTAGTTGAGAGCAAGTACGATAAAAGAACTACAATAGGTAGCAAAAAGATGATAAGAGCAAACAACATAAATATAGGAAAAAAGCGAAGCAATAATTAAATGGAGATTTGTTTCTTTATTTTGCTAGTGGAGACAAAAAAGCATGCTGATGATATTGTGCCATGACAAAAATGGCTTTGAACTATTAGTTCTATGAAGGCATCTTAATCATGATGCCCTAATGATGTAAAAATGGCCGAAAACCTATTCTTAGAGGTAAAATTAAGCCTAACGATTTGCTTGGAATGTAGCGAATCTAAAAGGATTATTTCGAATGTCTGAAATTAGTCTTATTGGTTATATTCAGCATTTTGGACTTGGAAATGTCAGCATTTAAATAATATAAACACAAAACATGTTGACAAAAGTTTGAAACCTGAAAAGTTATACAAGATTCCTTTTGCACTTCAAAGCCGTCAATATTTTGTGAACACGGGTTCGCTCAGTTTTGCCTAAAGTTGTGAAGTTCGACCCACAGGTGACACAGACACAACCTTTTTTCAAGTCAGTATTTATCCATCGCCTTGTCTGGAAATGTATGGCTGTAAGCATTTCTCAAGAAACATAGTTAACCAAGTGATTCACGAAAACCTGGTTTTAGGTAACTTATTAAACACGTCTTATTAAGGAACTACACATTTGTCACGAAAGTTTCACAAAAATGAGCAAAATTATATTCCTTTCATAAGTGCAAGAACGTATAAAGCTTCAGTCTGTATAAAGATGGAAATCGAAAAATCACCAAAACTCACCACTGAGAAAGTTTCATACACATAGTTCCCTTTATAATCTTGAAAAGAGAAAGAACAAGGATTTCAGCAGAATGGCATGGATTCATTTTATTTCGCTTGGTTCTTGCCAGCTGCTCAAAACCTGTTATATTCAAAATTCGTAATTACAAAGTACGTTCAGTCTACTTACATGAAAGATTTTAGTTGAAATGACTGAGGCCAGCGCTTTTGACAAAGTAAATAATGATTTAAATATCGAATGTCGGGTAAAATTCATTAACATTATTCACGACCTTCAAACCAAAGCTTGCAAGGGCTTCCGAAAACCCTTCGACGTTTATCGATAACTTATCTAATATAACGCTCAATAATATAGAAGCAGAAGTCTTATCAGTTGGACTCAAATTTCACATACCGAAAACAAGTGCTGACAGGATTGACATAGAAGTTCAATTCGTAAATTTACTTGACCAGTTAAGAGACATGCATCCAATGAATGAAGTAAAGGTGTGGTTCAAATTAAGGTTAGTTGATATTGCCAACCAACGTTGCGTTTCATCGACATTCAAGTCCAATACTGCATTCAAAGAACATCTGACAGCTTTAAGAAACACCAAAAAAGTAAGCATTAAGGGTATAATGTAGGATAGTTGTTTGTTAAAGCAGGCGGCAAGGTATGGAAGTATATGAGTTGTACGTAAGGTAACGTGTGGAGAAATAATATTAATTGTTAGTCAACTTAGTGTGCAGAAGAGTAAAATGTTAATACAGGATAAGCAGAAAGAAACTCACAGTAACTTGGTGCTGATGTTTTTTTGTGTTGTCCTAACCAGTTGATTGGTAACAGGCTCCATAAATGCAAGAGCACTGGTAGTGGGCAATCGATAGTGCTGTCCTCTTGACTTTTTAGGGTGGTAGTGAATGTCCCTTATCGACCGAGTTTAGTTTAACAGTAAAGATGGGTCCAGTGCGCTATCTGTCTACTTCAAGTGAAGAAATATGGTGGAAAAAGTAATTAATACAACTGAAAAGTAGGAAGAATAAGGCAAACTGAACTTGAAGTCCATTTTGGTCTAAACATGGAGAGAGCCTATGACGTCTGAGTGGGGTGCAGATGTGTTCGTACGTGCAAGATCAGTGCGAGTGAGGGCTTGATCAAGCAGTTTCACAAACGTATGTAGTTCATCTGCCATGCGAGTCTCGGAAGGAAGACTGTTCCATATTATTGCATACTTGGTGAGGAAGAAGTTTTCCCGAGTTTTTGATCTGTATTTCTCAACTTTGACCGTAGATACTTTGTTTAGAAGTTCGTATTCATGTGAATCTCTAGCAAGAACTATCTTACATGTTGAATAAGTAAGGTTTTTGAGTAGTTTGAAGTAGAGAATCAAATTAGACCTAAGCATTCTCTCCAAAAGCGGTGCTATTCCTAAAACTTGGCATCGCGTACTGTAGTCAGTGACTGAGTCAGACTTAAGTACTTTGCGGGTGAGGTCTCTTTGTATTCCTTTCACCTTTAGTATATCGGTTAGGCGTAGATTGGAAAATAAGAACGAGCAGTATTCAACGATAGGTCTTACACAAACTTTGTAAAGAAGGATTTTAGATTCATTTTGATAGAAATTACGGAGAATGAAGCCAAGCAATTTCCGCATTGTTAGGATAGTCGGAAAATAAGACCAATAATTATCATGTTAAGTCCAATGGTGTCCTTGAACCTGAAATGTACATTTCTTATTGGTCGATGTTTATTTCACTTGTTAAATATTTTGTAAATATTGTTTCCTATTTTATGGTACGATGTGGTATGCTTGGTTGGTATATAATCAAAGTATGTTTGAAATATAAGGATTCATAACCCAGAGGCTGTGACTTGTGTTCTTGACTCAACTGGCTGGGAACAGACAGCGAAGCAGGGCCAATCAGGGCACTAGGTCATCCTTACGTGTTTTCCGTGTCACTGTCACAGATCGCGATCGATAAATGAACGCTGCGTATCAAAACCTGCAGTCCCTCGCGTTACAACACGCATTTTGGATGCTTTAGCTGAGACGTGTTCAGAGAAATTAAGACTGTGTGAGTATTGTAGCCCTAGGTCAGTTACTGATGCCAGTCTGGGCAGTGTGTGACTGTGGATGATTATTATCAGAAGGGGTTTTGTGGAGATTTTAGAACTTTCACTGGTTGAAATCATGGGTCAATTGAAGCGAGACCACCATGAAAAACGTGGAAGCACTGAACGGCCATCTCGTCCTAGTATGGGACTCATCCGCTCACTAGTGACTGACTTCAAGAGACACTCCTGGAGTTCTAGTGAGAAGCCGTGACCAGTGGAGTCCAACTAGGTCTTTGAGATATCAGCTCACTGAAGACAATGGTGTACGGCCGCGCAATTTCGTAGATTGGTTGAAGTTAGACATTAACACCGTTGGATGCTTGCTCAGTGGTCTAGTGGTTAAGTGCTCACGCATGAAACCACTAGGTCCTGGATTCGAATCTCGCAGGGGGCGAGGTCGTGGATGCGCACTGCTGAGGAGTCCCACAATAGGACAAAACGGTCGTACAGTGCTTCCAGTTTTTCCATGATGTTCTAGCTTCAATTGACTCATGATTTCAACCAGTTAAATTTATAAAATCTCCACAAAACCCCTTCTGATAAATCGTACTATACTTGGTAAAGTACAGTGAAACGTGAGGTGTGAGTGCATTGTACGAAGGTGTAACACTTATGTAAAGATGTATATGATTATCGTCAAGATGCGGACAATATGGAAGTGTTAGCATGCAATTATGAGCAAATGAGTAAGCGTACAAAAAAATTAACGTGCACTTATGTTGTAACTGCCTGGACGATAAAATGACATTCGCATGAACGATTTAAAATACGGCGAAAACAGTAATAAATTGCTTATGGGTATGACAGTGTAATAAATCGTGGAAATGAACCGTCGAGTAAAATTTGTACTTACCAATACCAAATTTACTTCTGGTTCCGTGCAAGGTGTAAGTGTTCGCCAGTTCCGGCGAAAGGAGGTATTGCAGAGAGGCTTTGGCTGATTTCCGAGGATCCTCACACAGTAGGTGATATAATCTCTCCACCTAAAATTTGTTCAAACACCTGTTAGAACTTACGAAATGATCCCGGAATTTCTGGTTTTGTAAAGCTGCCTCTAAAGAACGCAACTCATCATGCGTTCTTAACGGGGAATGTGTAGCATCACTATCCTCTAAGACGCCTATACTCTAACGGGTAAAGCTTCAGTGATTGAGAGCGCTCTTCATAAGGTTTTGAACTTGAGTCCTCGAACTGATTTCGTAGCTCGCCGTTGGATACTCTCCAGAGTGTCCTTATCCTTTTGGAGTGAGGGAGGAAATACTATGTTCCCGTATTCTAAATAGGGACGAATAAAACTGTTGAAGATTGTGTGGAAAGTTCTTCCGTCAAACTGGCCAAAAATGCGCTTCAATGTTACCAGTGCAAGGTTTGCTCGGAAGGCATTTTTGTCACAGTTAGCGTAAGACTTTAGATCGTAGAGCACCAGGACTCCCAAATCTTTTTCGACTCGAGATACTACTAGGGAGGAGTTTCCTAAGTTATAACTGTAGTCTGCGACATGTCGCAGATGGACTACTTTACATTTTGAAGTGTTAAAGGTA